CTCACCGGATGCACCGCACTGCGCGCGTTGCCTTCTATACCTTTCAAAACAACAAGAACAAACGACTAACATCGACAATGTTGTCCGTATCCCTCAAAGTTGTTTAGAATTAAATGTTTAGATATACGCGTACGTTTGTGCGCCTTTGATGTACCCCTTAACGCTCTTATGTCCTTGTCGTAGCACCAGTGGCACCGAAATTCATATGCTGATTCGGCTCGGTGCATATCGTTTATAGGTAGGGTTTTGGTACCCAACTCTAATCATCATTCTATCATCGCTCAAATTAACTATAGTTATGACTTAACTTTGCACTTTCTGCAATGTGATTATTGCGGATGCGCACATTCCGATGACGATGCTGGAACGATATAGTGTGCAAACCCTCCTATCTCTGCCAATGCTGACACTTATTAATATAATTTTGATGATTCCCTGTGTTTATGGACCATGTGGAGCATACAGCCGCAGAAAAGGACATGATTTGTCCCTGATTGGCTGCATTCACCCAGTTTCTCATGGGTGCTCATGGGTCTTTTTTTCCATTTACACCAATCTTTACCAAATATTTGGTTGGTTTGCTCTGAATGTGTGGTAACCCATCCAATAAAAGTACAATGAGCAGTTTTAAAGTTACTCCATATGACTTGTGAGAAGGTCAGACATGTGATAGTTTTAAAAACAGACAGTATTGATTATGATGTTGATGTTCACGGTTCTTTTCAGTGATATTTTGGTCACACTTGATTTTGATGATCCGTTGTTGAATTTAAGTTACATTGCACCTACGTGCCAACTAATTCTCATTAGATTATAAGTAGACTGCTAGGTTGGGGTTAGGTTTATGGTGAGTGTAAGTTTACATGTACTTGCAAAGTTTCTAATAGTGAGTTAAATGTCTGTTGAAGTAGTAGTATCAATAGATAATAAGCAGACAGTCTACTAATAATCAAACGTGCCATTAAAATAAAATGTTACCGATATTTTTATTAGTTTATGGTTCAAATATTTGTCCCCAAATCCAAAGAGAAGTGAATTTTCTGCCATAAAAACTCTATGCACATGCTGGCTGATAGGTCACCTAATCTAAATGGTGCAGGACATTGGTTGCTATCACCTCGGCAGCCAATGAGCTTGCTCCTCATCAGTTTAAATGCTCCTTATGCTGTTTAGCTGCGGCACATTTTTGAAGACCCTCCTCCACCCCAGCTCCACCTGTGTTTAGATCAGTTACATATATATTATGTCTGCAGCAGCAGCATTTTATAATTTCCGATGACATGTCTGTGTATATACTGGCAGTAGCAGGTCTCAGTACTTGCTCTGCCATAATAATCAAAGCAGCAGCAGCAGCGTAGCAGATATACTCTAGCAAGACCAAATGCATATTCATTGCATACTAAATCCTGTTCATGACAGAAATGTACTACCCAGAACTAACCTTGACCCATCTATTAATAGGTTCATGATTCGTCCCCCGAGTCATGTGACACAATAATGAGTGTCGAGTCCAGTTTTGTCTATTTTTTCCAATATCGTTCCACCCATAATTTCATATCAGCCACAATCAAACACAAATCAAATAATGCTAAAATGCTCAACTTGCTAAACTATATAATGCTAAACTAATGGGATGATGTTCAAATGGGAACTTATAAAATTATTATTAATGCTCTATTTAATGATCTATTTAATTCTGTATCTGTCATACTCAAGGATGGCCCCATTGACCATTTCTGAAAACTTAGTCACTATAGGCTTTATAGGCCCCTCAAAAAAGAACTCGTGTGTCTCTGCATGTGCTCCACGAAGCCTTTTAGTTCACAAACAACCGCAAAGACCATCTTAAGCTGCCATCACATCCTGTAACTATCCATTAACAACTCTAAATTAGACACAGGAGGCATTAGGCCAGCATTTTAAAAATCCCCCATTTTCCACCTCTCTAGGGAAAATGGTCCTAATGATTGAGATCGTCATGGCAACGTAGGTAATGCGTCTATGCCAGACTCAATGTTTACCTGTGTCCGCCAGACATTATGGGATGTGGACTCGTTGGAGTAATATAAAGTACAGACTTTTAGGAGAGTAAATTCGCCCTAATGCTACAGCTATTTATTGGCAGAGAGCAGGAAAACAGACATAGAAATGGCTGGTCATTAAGACAGGATGCTATTTAAGTTATTTATAGGTTGTTGTTTTTTTTATAATTTTTTGTTATCCTAAAATGGACCATAAAGAAACCAATGGTATTCTTTAAACTTATATTTCACAGCTTTTTTAAACAATCATCTTTCTTTCACTTTTTAAATAAACAGACCAAAGCATAGTTGCATCCCAAATGGCACGCTACGCACTTCACACTCAACTAAGTAGTGTAAGAGTTTAGCGTCATCATAAATGAAACACTAATGTTTGTTTACAAAACAGAAATTCAAACATTTCCCAGATGTCAATTAACAATTGACAAATTAGTGAAATAAATAACCAAACTACCAAATAATACTTAAGTACAACCATATTCACCACCAGGAGGCACCGTAATCATTCACGGACCAATCTCAGAGATAAATAGCTCTGCCCCTTCTGCTACAAGCAAAAGCTGCGAACGTTGAGTGCCTAAAGTGTTCAACATTCCACATTTCTTGTTATCGGGTTAATAAGTGCATCACTTAGGGTTTTAAAGTGCGCTTATTCCTTTTCGAGTAAAACAAATATTTCAGTGTTAATGAACTACTATTTTAACGTTGAAATTGCATAGAATGGTGTAATTTGGAACGTACCTTCTATTCTTCTGGTGTTACCATGGAAACATCCTTAAAAGAGATTGGTGTCATTCCAATTGTTGCGCAGACGCAGTAGCTAGAGCTAACTTCAAATGAATATCTCAGTGTGAAGGAACTACTTATACTATTTTATCTACGAAATGGTGTAGAATAGTTTGATTTCGATACCACCTTCTATTCCTCCGGTGTTAGCATGGAAACAGCCTTAAAGCAGATTCGTGTTGTGCCAATCGTTGCGCAGGTGCAGTAGCTAGAGCAAACTTTAAATGAATATCTCAGTGTGAATGAACTTCTTATACTATTTTAACTTCAAAAGGGCGTAGAATAGTGTGATTTGGAACGCACCTTCTTTTCTTCTGGTGTTACCATGGAAACATCCTGAAAAGAGATTGGTGCCGTATCAATCGTTGCGCATACGCAGTAGCTAGAGCTAACCTTAAATGAATATCTCAGTGTGAATGAACTACTTACACTATTTTTACTACGAAATGGTGTAGAATAGTTTGATTAAGATAGCACCTTCTATTCTTCCGGTGTTATCATGGAAACAGCCTTAAAGGAGATTCGTGTTGTGCCAATCGTTGCGCAGGTGCAGTAGCTAGAGCAAATCTTAAATAAATATCTCAGTGTGAATAAACTACTTATTCTATTTTAACTTCAAAATGGTGTAGAATAGTTTGTTTTCGATAACACCTTCTATTCTTTCGGAAGTACCATGGAAACTGCCTTAAAGGTGATTAGTGTCAATCCAATCGTTGTGCAGACGCAGTGGCTAGAGCAAACTTTAAATGAGTATTTCAGTGTGAATGAACTACTTACACTATTATAACTACGAAATGGCATACAATAGTGTGATTAGGAACGCACCTTCTATTCTTCCAGTGTTACTATGAAAACAGCCTTAAAAGAGATTAGTGTCGCTCCAGTCATTGCACAGGTGCAGTGGCTAGAGCAAACTTTAAATGAATATCTCAGTTTAAATGAACTACTTGTACTACTTTACCTTTAAAATGGCGTAGAATTGTTTGATTTTGATAGCACCTTCTATTCTTCCAGAAGTACCATGGAAACCGCCTTAAGGAGATTAGTGTCATTCCAATTGTTGCGCAGGTGCAGTAGCTAGAGCAAACTTTTAATGAATATCTCAGTGTGAATTAACTACTTACACTATTTTAACTACGAAATGGCCCAGAATAGTGTGATTTTGAACGCACCCTCTATTCTTTTGGGGTTACCAAGGAAACAGCCTTAAAGGAGATTGGTGTCATGCCAATCGTTGTGCAGGCGCAGTAGCTACAGCAAACTTTAAATGAATATCTCAGCGTGAATAAACTACTTACACTATTTTAACTAAGGAATGGCGTAGAATAGCGGATTTGGAACGCACCTTCTATTCTTCTGGTGTTACTATAAAAGCAGCCTTAAAGGAAATTGGTGTCGTGTCAATGGTTGCGTAGGTGCAGTAGCTAGATCAAACCTTTAATGAATATCTCAGTGTGAATGAACTACTTATACTATTTTAACTACGAAATGGGGTAGAATAGTGCACAATTATGCGATTTGGGACGCACCTTGTGTCTTTCCTTGAGAGCCGAGCCATTTAAACAAACAGAGCCATGTTTTGAAAGCTGCACAGTGTTTTTACTAAATCAGCTTTCGAATGGCTTCCTCATAGTTGCGTCTGCACAGACAGGGTACATACCATCTTTAATAGCTTCAAATAAATTATTCACTTTCATAGGACCTCTATTGGACACTACTTAAAATTATTTACTAGTTAAAGGATAGCATTTGCCAAAACAGATGCATCATCAGGCTTGGAGGTCTGAACCTGAGGATCGCACTTCAAACAGGAACATCCATCATCCTCACTAAAAATAGAGCTCTGGTTTTATGATTCACAGCAATAACATCGGAGGGATTCTCCCATGGCGCTGAATGAGAGCAAATTTGTAAATATTTGCTAGGATGTGTTTATGAATATGGTTGATATTCTCATTTGAATGACAGACAGCGATGCATGTAGGTGAAGGAAAGTGTGAGTGGATGAAAGCGGAGGTGAAGAGAAAAGAGAGTTTAATCGAAAACAGCTGCTCGTAGGATTTGCACTCTGCTGATTTACCGTCAGAGGGGAATTTACGGGAACGAGGCAAACTACGAACATAACACTCATTATTTTTTTTTCTCTCCTCTCTCTCTCATTCTTTACTACAGAACTCAATCAGACACAACCTGTCCCTACATAGTAGGTTCATCCGAGTGCAGAATGAGGGGACTGGTAAGAGCTCTTGGTGGATGCTCAACCCTGAGGGTGGGAAAAGTGGAAAGTCTCCTCGACGCCGGGCGGCCTCCATGGACAACAACAGCAAGTTTGCCAAGAGCAGAGGACGAGCGGCAAAGAAAAAGGTACAAGCTGCTTACCAAACCTTTCAGCAGTCACTTTGGCTGCATTTACACTGCATGCTTTAAGTGACTTTGTTCCCATTTTTTTCTCCCATCGGGCACAGATCAGGTATGGCCCATGTACTGTACGTCTAAGCAGGAAAAAAAAAAATTACATGGACTCCGATTTACTCATTCAGGCCACATTCAGATATGTGCTATTGTGTCTGAGACCTAGTATAGTAGTATATCATTAAAAAAACAATAGAAAAGACGGTTCTGCATGAGTCCCAAACATTTAATCTTATAAACAAGGACGAAAAGCTTTTTTATTGTCACGTAGCACAAGTTAATGCATTTAAGCATGTTAACGAGAGAGAGAGTGAGCGAAACATCTGCCGTGTAAACAATATAAACTAATTGCATGCATCATGTGCATAAATCACAGCAAATACACATTACATTAAAATGCCTCCTGGTTTAAAAAGCCTAGATTAAAAGAAGAGAACTTTTAGAAATCCTTAAAGGGCAGCCTAATGGTAAGAGTTGGACTTGTGATCCAGAGGTTGCAGGTTCGAGTCCCGGTATCAGCAGGAATTGTTGGTATATCCACCTCAGTACCACGACTGAGGTAATTCCCTTGAGCAAGGCACTGAACCCCAAAATAGAGGTCTGCATTCCTGCGGCTGTCCCGCGGGCGCCGCGGGATCCGACTAGATTTCTGCGGCGCGGGTATAAATTTTCGAATAAATTGCGGGAGCGGTCGGTAACGGGTTTAATTTGGGACGGGAGCGTGCTGTCTAGCAATATCACTCCCGACTCCCGAGTGAGCACACGTGTATGTGTGTAAATGAAATAGCGCAATGCTGTGTTTAGCTTGTTTGGTGCTGTGTGTGTGTGTGTGTGTGTGTGTGTGTGTGTGTGTGTGTGTGTGTGTGTGTGTGTGTGTGTGTGTGTGTGTGTGTGTGTGTGTGTGTGTTTGTGTGTGTGTGTGTGTGTGTGTGTGTGTGTGTGTGTGTGTATATATGTATGTATGTATGTGTGCGCACGCGCGAATGAGAGGTGTGTGTGTGTGTGTGTGTGTGTGTGTGCGTGTGTGTGTGTGCGTGTGTGTGTGTGTGTGTGTGAGCGCGCGCGAATGAGAGAGAGAGCTTTGTATGTGTGTAAATGAAATAGCGCGATGCTGTGTGTGTGTGTGTGTGTGTGTGCGCGCGAATGAGAGAGAGAGCTATGTATGTGTGTAAATGAAATAGCGTGATGCTGTGTGTGTGTGTGTGTGTGTGTGTGTATGTATGTATGTATGTATGTATGTATGTATGTATGTATGTGTGTGCACGCGCAAATGAGAGATGTGTGTGTGTGTGTGCGCGCGTGTGCGCGCGAATGAGAAAGAGAGAGAGAGCTTTGCCTGTGTGTGTGCTTGGTGCTTATGTGTGTGTGTTAGTGCGCGCGCGAATGAGAGAGAGAGAGCTTTGTCTGTGTGTGTGTGCTTGGTGCTGTGTGAGTGTGTGTTTATACAGACAGCTTTTTATAGCCTGTCTGGACTCTGTATAGCTGGGTGGTTTTCAGTTTTGTTCTCCCCCTGCTCTTTAGCGGGATCAGGCGCGGCGGCTAGAAAACGGAGCGGGTCAGGCAGCAGGACAACAAGTGCTTAATACAAGCGGGAGCGGTCGGGTTCGGGCTAAAACCTGGCGGGTGCGGGGGGGATTAAAAATTTAGTCCCGCGCAGATCTCTACCCCAAAACTGTTCCCGGGTGTGTGTTCACATGCGTGAGTCACTTTGGATAAAATTGTCTTGTAAATCTAAATGTCATAAACTATATCAAGTCTGCTTGTCAAAATATATACTTAGCAGCAGTGTTGAAAAGGAGAAATAACCAAATACATCCTAGAAATAATCCTGCAGACAGACTCAATACAGGAACGGGGAAAAGAGAGCTCTTTTATTATCACTGCTTTCAGTCAGTGCCCTCTCTTTTTTCCAGGTCATTGCATCTTATTGTGAGCATTGTAAATGCAGACTTCAAAAACAAGTCACTTTTAAAAGATGATCTAACTAGGTCATTAAAAAAAATCAGATGCAGTCCTTAATCAGACTTGAGCATTTGTATCAAAAGCAGTGGTCTCAAACTCGATTTCTGGAGGGCCACAGATCTGAGTAGTTTAGCTCCAACCACCTTCAACTCACACCTGCTTAATAGTCTCTAGTAATCTTGAACACCTTGATTATTTGAATCAGCTGTGTTTGATTAGGGTTGAAGCAAAACTGCGTAGAGCTGCTTCCCTCCAAGTTTGAGACCTATGCTTTACAGCAGTGGTCCCCAACCTTTTTCTAACTGCGGACCGGTCAACGCTTTACAATTTTACTGCGGACTGGGGGGGTTGAAATAATAATAATATACATGAATCCACTGTACTCATATGGAACTTTATTAGCACATCGCTCCAACAATATAACATATTATAACATCAAAAACTGTCCGTAACGCTAAATTAATGGGAGCCCTGAGCTTGTTTCTGCAACGAGATGGTCCCATCTGGGGGTAATGGCATACAAAATCCCCTTTTGGGGGTAATGGCATACAAAATTACCGGCAATTTTCTGGAAAGGTGTGTATGTGTCAACAGGGCCTTTTTAAAAATACCGGTAAATTCGTTCAGGCTATTTTCCGAAAAGAGAAATTGTCACATTACCGTTAATTTGCCAGAATGCTGCGCTGTGTAAACGCAGAAGGAAGATTGCTGGAAAGAGTGCGTGCACGTCTAGAACGTGCTGACGTGAGACGTCTGCTTTAGCCAATCAGAACAGTCAGACGCATTCACGTCCGCGCGGTTTCTGAGAATAAAAGCCTTTGAATATTTTTCCAGACACGTTTAGGTGCTAGAAATTAGGCAGATGACGTTTATATGTTCATCTTAATGCCAACCGTGTAAATAATTATCGATAAGATGCTTATGATAAGTCGTTGTTTGTTTACCTTCAAGCTTTGCGTGTTCCCGTGAAACAGCCCGTGAGCGCCTGCACACACACATATCATGCAAGTCCAATATGCCTCTGTTCACGTGCCGTCCCCACAAATCCAGTTTGGCTTTAAATGCAGCTACTTCATCTGCCAACTTAAAGATAATTAATTCTTGTGCGGCCCGGTACTGATTGATCCACGGACCGTTACCGGTCCGCGGCCCGGGGGTTGGGGACCACTGCTCTACAGTGTAAATGCAGCCTTTGACAACTAACCCACAACTGATTGTTTTTATTTTTTTACTCTCTTAATAGCTGGCTCTTCAGGGTGGCCCCGAGGGTGGCGCGGACAGCCCTGGATCCCAGTACGGCAAGTGGCCTGGAAGTCCGAACTCCCACAGCAATGATGACTTTGAAGCCTGGACGGCTTTCCGACCCCGCACCAGCTCCAATGCCAGCACATTAAGCGGTCGTCTCTCACCGTTTATTGATGACGAACTTGGAGACTCTGATGTTCACATGGTCTACCCAGGCCCTGGGTCAGGGACCAAAATGACCTCCACCCTGCCCAGCCTGTCTGAAATGGCTGGATCTCTAGGCCACAGTGGCTCTGAGAATGTGATGGAGAATCTTCTGGATAACCTCAACTTGCTTTCACCTAAGAACCCATCCACGGGAGGTCCTGGGTCAGGATCCAACCAGTCCTCCCCCTCCTCGCTCATGCAGGCCAGTCCAGGTTACTCCCCCTACAGTTCCCCAGGTCTATCGGCAGTAAGCCAGCAGACCCAACAGGACTTTCGCAAGTGTCTCTACGGCCAGGCAGGAATGGGAAGCATGTCCCCTATGCCCATGCAACCTCTGCCAGAAAGCAAGCCAAGTTTTGGTCCTGGTGGAGGAACTATGGGTCAGTTTAACTGCACAGCAGGACTCCTAAAAGAGTTACTCACATCTGATGGGGAGCCTGGAGACCTCATGCCTTCAGTGGACACTGTTGTGTCCCAATCTGCTGGAGGGAGTGGATGTATGTTGCCTCCATACAGCAGTGGGCGAAACGAACTCATGGGCGGTGGACCTACCCACAGTCACACTCTTTCTCACCCACACAACATGCACGGACAAGCCCCGCCCACATCTGTGGCACTGAACGGGCGATCTCTGCACCCTCTGACTGCCATTGGTCACAGCAGTGTGGGCGGACGCCTGGGAAGTGGTAAATCTCCAATGCAGATGCAGTATGGAGGCTCAGGTCATCTCGGGGGTGGACTTCCTCCATACTGCAGCATGAGCAGTAACGGATACGGCCGCGGCCCAGGGATGATGGCCCACCAGCAGCTGCAACACCTGGAGAAGCTACCGAGCGATCTGGACGGGATGCCAATCGAGCGATTCGAATGTGACGTGGAGTCGATCTTGCATGACACGCTCATGGACGGAGAATCGCTGGACTTCAACTTCGATCCCATGAACTCCCAACAGGGGTTCGTGCCTCACAGTGTAAAGACCACCACTCACAGCTGGGTGTCTGGGTAGGACCACCATTCTTCTTTTTTTCTTGGAAATCAATTCACAACCTAAAAATAAGCCGGTATCAGATTTTCATGTTGCGATTAATTTCTTTTATCGCTACAGAATTGAAGTCAAAAGTGTTATCCTTCCTTTGATTTTTATTTTTTATTTGATTCTTCAAATATTTCCCAAATGATGTTTAACAGAGCAAGGATTTCCTATAATATATATTTTTTTTCTTCTGGAGAAAGTCTTATTTGTTTTTTGTTTTTTTTTTTGTTTTTGTTTTTTTGATAAAATAAAAGCAATTTTTATTAAAAAAAATAATAAAAAAACTTTTTAAGGACAATATTATTAGCCTACTTAAGCAATATTTGTTTCGATTGTCTACAAAACAAATCATCATTATACAATGATTTGTCTAATTACCCTAACTCACCTATTTAACCTAATTAACCCAGTTTAGCCTTCAAATTGCACTTTAAGCTGAATATTGTTATCTTGAAAATGATCTTGTAAAATATTATGAACTGTCATCATGGCAAAGATAAAATAAATCATTTATTAGAAATTCAACCCAGGCTCATTCGATTACGAACCCCTATATACATTTCTGGAGAGAGCCCAAATTTGTCCCAGGAGGTACATTTTTTTGCAGTTTTTGTTTTTGCGAATCTGCCAGAGGCCGCTGTGTATGCATTTCTAGATATGCAATTTCTCTCACGTGTGCCATTCGTGCCTGCTCTTCTCGCATAAACCCACCAGAGGCCGCTGTCGACCGACATACTCACTGACTGACCAACTGACCGATTCAACCCCCGCCCTCCCCCTTCCCTAAACCCAACCAATAGCATTTTTAAAAAGCACAGATTGACCCGCCCACCCCCGTCCCTAAACCCAACCGCAGTATTTTAAAAAGTGGTCAAATAAAAAGAAAAGCCCTCCAATAGAGGTGTGAACCTATACTGGTCTCACGGTTCAGTTACGATTGTCATGCCTTTGATTCGGTTCAATTCGATATTTCGGTGCATCACGGTGCATTGACGATGCTTTCCATATACAGTGTTATATTTTAGAGGAGAGGCTATAACAAGCTGTCTGTAAACACACAGAGACAATGCACCACACTGTCTCTCATTCACACACAAACATAGACAGCACCAAAGAAACAAACACACACACACACACACACACACACACACACGCACACACACACACTTAAGCCCTCGCAACAGGGAGAGCTCGCGAAGAGCGGAGCAGAAAAACGAAAAAAAAAAAAAAGAATCACTTTTCCGACGGTCCCTTACTGAGAGCTCCTCTCAGCGCGAGCTCTCCCGGCTAAACACATATTGCGAGGGCTTAAACGGAGCAGTGCTCGTAATGTGGAGCGAAAAAAAAAAAAAAACAGCTGTGAAACATAACCAGCTTTGTCTTTTTGTAGGAGACACACTTTAGATCTTTTTAGGGTCAGAGGTTTTTGAGTTATTGCTGTCTGTAACTGAATGTGTGTCAAGAATATCGGAAAAAAAAACAACTGAACCGCGCTCATTTCTGTCGCCCCCCTGGATATACAGCGCCCTTAGAATTTGCCTATGGTGCCTATGCCACGGGCCGGCCCTGCGTTGGCTGAGTGTTGAAAATACTCTCGCTCACCTCCCTCGCGACAGAGCGCATAGGAGATAAATGACGTCAGTACATAATAACCGGTTATGATTATTACTGAACCGATACCGAATTGTCTGCGTCTGCATCGCTGTGCACCGAAGAAACAATTAATTTTGACACCCCTACCCTCCAATATTTAACACATTTTCAGATCTTACCACGTTCTCACCCTGTTATTTACTGGTTTATGTTATTTTTTGGCTTTTGTTTTGTCTTACCTTCTTTCTGGAACCATTCTTTGATGGCGGTCAAGTCCGCCATCATATGTGTCGAGCTACCAGACAAACTGGCAACAGCAGTAAAGCCGGTCACACAGAGGTGAGCAGCCAGCTGGTAAGCACGAAAAGGAACGGCATCATACCGCCCCGTAGCGTTCGTTTTAAAGACGAAATGCAGCCATACGTACCTCTGGCTACATAATTCGTGATCTCCAGAAATGTACATAGAGCTACGTTGTCAGAATGAGCCTGTGTCGTAGAAATTAGTTCTGAAAAAACTGAGCAGCACGGTGGAAGAAAAATGAATGAATGGTTATTCAAACTATTATGTTTAGAAATGTGTTGAAGAAGAGTCTTCTCTCTGTTAAACAGAAATTGGGGAAAAAAGGATATACGGGGAGCCAATAATTCTGACTTCACCTGTATATTTCAACATATAGAAGAAGACTTGAATATCTGAGAGTGCTCTCTTCAATCAATCTAATGTTTTTTTTGCTTGTTTATTTTACAGGTAAAAACCCTCATCACTGAGCAGCACCCAAACCCCCCGTCATCCCTCGCCAGGGAACTAAGCCCCTGTAAATTTGTTCACTTTTCTTCAGCAGAGGCGGCTGAGATTCCACCTCACACTGCCAAGCACACTGGCTCAATGTGGAGCTAAATTGCAAGGACGTCAGACATTGGGACTCGCGTTCAAACCAAGTGCCAAACCAGGTGCCTGTGCTCCAAAGCCAAATTGACAAGCTTTATTTTGCTGCCTTCAGTGGTCAAATCAGGGCAAAAAAAAACCTGAGGCCCTTACATCTGCTGCAACACACATTCATCAACATCCACACCAACTTCTCTAATGATTTTTACAGCCACATTTTCCATTAAGGGCAAACTGTGATAAGGTGTAAACGCCTAATAGCTAATAAACGGTAATAGCTCTCTTTCGTTGTCGTGTTGTCAGTTCAAAAACCCTACCCTGCCATTTTTGTCTAAGGGTAATGCATTCATGCTGCGCTTCATGATTGGCCTTATTGGGAAGAAGAACTGGAAGAGCGGGAATCGCTGTAAATAGATTTATTTAGAAACAGTCCTGCAGAATCATGATATTAGGGAAATCGATGCCGACTAGTTGAACTACGTCGCATACAGCACATCATAACACTTTCATTTCTGTCTCGTCGGCATATTTGAGCGAGCAGAAGTACTACATTTCTAAACCGTATGTTACTATAAATCGGTGTACAGAGAGTTTACACGATGATATCAACAATCAGGGCAACAGATTTAATGTTGTTTTGTAAATCGGAGAGAAACTGGATTCGACGTTTTTACATTTTTGGCGGACGTACATGGGAAAAGAGTTGTTTCTCGTCTGAATTGTATACATCTTTCCACGTTTCTTGTAAATACATGAAATATATATTTCAGAAACATATAAAAGTAGAATATTTTAGTGTTTTTTTTTTCTTTTGTTATATCACAGTTATTCTTATTGCTGTTTATTAGCGGCTTCAGTTTGATCGTTTGTTTGTTATTTATAGGAATAGTTCACCCGATAATGAAAAAAGAAAAACAATTTGCTTGTGTCATTCCAAACTCATTTATTTATTCTGTGAACAAAAAAAAAACGATGACTTTTTGAATAATAACACAGCTATTCTTTTTTTAATATATAACGAGGCTACCATTGCTATTCAAACAATTGTCAGTAAAAAGTTCTGACAATATTTTTTACAAAATGAATGCTTTTATGTGTCATGGAGCAAAGAAACTCAGTTTGGAGCGACATTAGGGTGAATAAATGATTTCAGAATTTCTCATTTTCTTGTCTAAGCTGTGTATAGCACATTTTGTAAATTTTTAGGGTCCTTAAAAGACAAATCCAGCATTTTGTACAACTCAAAAGTTTTGTAACCTATGTACAATGTTAGTTTAAAAAAAAAAAAAGTCAAATTTTTCCAAAAACTGTTGGATTTGCTCTTAAAATCCATGTGAATCGGCAGTTGCTGAGGCTTTTATTTCAGTATGTTGATGTACTTTCAACTGAAACTGAATATTAAGTAGGGGGGCGGGGCTTTCTTTTGCACATCATGCTTTAATAGAGAATTAACATAAGAGGGGCGTGGTTAAGGTTATTAATATATTGTTGCTATGGAAGCTCTTAGGTTGACGTCAGCAGAAGGATCGTCACTAGCTCATACTTGGATTGAACTTTTTTTTCTTCAGTGGATTAACTTACACTGATTAACTATTCACTTTAAGAATAACAATGTGAACTAACAATTTTGATTTCACATGGACTTTAAGAATTTTTTTACAACCATCAAAACGTTTTATAAGTGATTAAAGTAGTTTAGAGATTCAGCGCTTGGAGAATCTTACGCCTTCACCACCACATTGAATCTGTTGCTGTAAAAAAGCTCCGGTTGTCTACTTTTAACAAAGTGTAGAGACTATTCTTGACTTCACATTATTTATTTGGCTAAAGGAGAAGTGATTGTATCAAGTCATGGTGTATTGTATTGTACACCTCTCTCAGATTGCAGGCACTGTGATGTATATGTTTGTGGTGGTCTGTGCTGCCTCAACCTTCATGTTCATTTCTCATTACCAGAAAAACATCGACAGTTTGGACTTTTTGCACTACCAGGTCTTTATAATGGTCAAAATGAGCAAATGAAAGGGTGAAAACAAGAATTGACTTCTTGATTAGTGTTTCAAAGCAAATGTTGAAAACTTTTTAATGCTTTGCATAAATTAACATATGTTAAGTTCTCATTATTGGCCTTTTTTAATTAAAATATCGAGTGCTTGATGTTGTTAGATGTGTTTATTGAGGACGCTAACACAGTTTTCTAACCTGACGGGATGTGATAACAATCCGCAACTAACTCGCATTTTGGTTTCTATTGCTGTGGCTTCATGCTGTTTAGCCACGCCTATTACGAAATCCTATCGGTCTAAAATTCCACTCTGCATACTTTAGATGAAATATGATTGGCTGTGCCATAATTTTCACTTCCAGTGTAAACAGACAAATTTCTCGTGCAACTAAAGCCATCTAGAGTGCTGTTGTTTGAAAACCCCATTCATTTTCTCTACAGGGAAGCAATAGTTGATACATAAAGCCCTGTTCTGTGTCAATGTTAGAGTGTATGGGTGTTTCCCAGGACTGGGTTGCAGCAAATAAATGTTCTACGGCGTATTTGTATTATTATTTCTGAATACCCATGGGAAAAATTCTGTAGCCATCATATTTTTTGGCTAGTTTCGGAAAATAAAAACGTAAACTATTATCGTTAACTTTAACGTTTATTTATTTTTAAATACAAAAATCACTGTGCCCACCATCATGGACACGCATTTGCTTTGTGAATTTCGCAGGTGAGCCCACCCACGCACATCTCCGAACGCTAATAACTATTGCGATTATCGCCATCGCCCGTTTGTTTGTATTAACGACAAGATGTTTGATATTTCATGTTTTGATAGAGCTGTGGAGTCCTGTTCATGTCCCGAATGTTCGCGCATAGTTCTGAAGAATATGAAGTATATTTAGAGTAGAAGATCATGTACACGCAACGCTTTTTCTCTTTTGTACACCGACACTGTTATTCTTGTGTTATTCTTTCAGTTTGTACTGGACAAAAGAAAAGTAAAAAAAAAAAAAAACTGAAAGAAATTTAGTAGACAATTTAGCCGTTTTCTCTTCAGATTGCGGAGTTTGGACCAATTTTTAATGAAAATAAATAAATAAATCAATATATAAATTAAAATACTGCACTTTTTATCTGGAGATGTAATGAGTTCTCCTTCTAGAGAGGTTGAAAATAAAATGAAGATGATCTATTTTGAAACAAACTGTTACATTTCTTAACTTATGTACAGGAATGATTTGATTCGTGATTGAAAGATGACTTGAGGTGCAATTTGTGTAGAGAAAGTAATCTATGAGAGAGAAATGCTATCTGTTAAGCTGACATATGCCAATACTGACACATGTGTATTATATATTATCTCTTGGTTTTTCGAGTTGGTTAGCAGTGAGCTGAAACCGTTTGTGAAATGTGAGCGCTCTGATGTTTTTTTTTTTGCTCTTGATGCCGATGTTGTGCTTGTATTCCTGTACAAGAAACATGCTGCCGCTGTAAAAAAAAAAAAAAAAAAAAGCCATGTGTATATAAATTATGTTATATAAAGAAGAATACAATGTGACTTTGTCTGTCTTTGTTTATTTACAAGAGGAAATCTTGGGAAGGGGGAAATCTGAAAAAATAAACTGTTCAGAAAGTACATGGTAGAAAAACCTGCAAATATGCTTCAGTAGGGCTGGGCGATTTGGCCTAAAATCAAAATCTTAATAAAATTCAATTCCTAAGAAAAACGACTCAATTACAGTAGTTTGAGAGTTTGTAATTTGTTCCTACACACCACTGGGTATGCACCTTTATGGCTTGAGGACGAGTCAAACATGGTCTGCTCTCCCTGAAATACCTCAGACTGAACTCGGTCACCCCACTTCAGGCTCTTTCTGGCTGAGATGTGATCGGCTTTGGGGGTTTCTGGAGCCAGATGGTCCTGTGGAAGGCAATCGTGTGAAAAGCAGTGGGAATCTTTGTCCTGGCTTTGATAGTAAAGGACGCCAGGAAGAAAAAAAAGTGCTTAACTGGCACTTTTCTCTCCTTGCACTTCTCTCCAGGTCTGGGTGTTGGATTTCTGTTATGGTTGAGGCTTCCAGCTGGTCCTCGTCACTAGAACCGTCTTGACTCCGTGCCCTAATCGCTCAGCTTTTGGACAGAACCCAGCCCAGAGAGTGATCTGGATCCAATTTAAGGTTCATCCAATACACAGATCCAGCAAATGAGGGTTGAAATGGCCAAACGTGGATTTTAAAGGGTCACCCAAGGACTTGGGTTGGGTTCTGAACTAGGGTTTGTCAAAGGTATTGAAGTTGGTCACAATCGGTATTAAACTTTAATAAAATGTAAATTTCCCGCTAACATTTAAAGCACAGATGAAATCAAACCTAACCATATTGATTTTGTTAGCTCATATTGCTAGTTTTGTGGTGAACAATTCATCTGTTCATGTCATTAAGAAAAAAAATAGTTTGTCCTTGTAATATTTAATTGAAATCTGAGTTCAGATAAAACTTCAGTTAAATAATCAGATTAGGTCAGTCTGAGGTATTGGGCGTGGCTAACATACCTAACCCCACCCCTCCAACAGAAACGGTGAGGAGGTGGAGTCTGCTAGCTTGTGATAACTCTCAGCAAACCCTTTTCTAGATCATTCTGAATTCAATGCCTACTTAACTACATCCAATCAGCTCCCAGTAGAAAAAACAAGCCACACCCACTGTTTTCTCATATTCTGTTTCTCTAGGAACTGCGTCACAATACCAACCCTCCGCCCCCTTCCCCGCCCCCAAACCCCTTAAAGGGCTTAAATAGCTATATTTGGTAAGAAAATAACTACAGAAATTAAATAAATTAATGCAAAATAGCACTGCAAAGTATAATTAATTCAATAATTCATCTGAATTTCATTAATTTCAATCTTTTTTACTTCAGGGCCCACTTCTTTCTCCGATCAATTTTTGAAGGATCGCCTGTATGACATTTTCTCTAAAATGTTTGTATTTGTATGAAATGTCTTATTTAAATCTTTATTTATTAACAATATATGTATATGTATATGTATATATATATATATATATATATATATACACACACACACACACACACACACACACACACAAACACACACTTCTATACAGCTTAAAGTGATATTTAAAGGCTAACTAGGTTAATTAGGGTAACTAGGCATGTTAAGGTAATTAGGCAAGTTATTGTTAACGATGGTTTGTTCTGTAGACTATTGAAAAAAATAGCTTAAAGGGGCTAATAATTTTGATCTTAACATGGTTTTTAAAAAATGTAGGTCAGTTTAAAGTTATTAAAACTAGTATGTTTAGAAATGTGTTGAAACAATCTTCTCTCCGTTAAACAGAAATCAGGGAAAAAAATTAGCAGGGAGGCTAATAATAATAATTCAGGGGGCTAATAATTCTGACTTCAGCTGTATATATATATATATATATATATATATATATATATATATATATATATATATATATATATATATATATATATATATATATATATATACATACACTTTTACTATTAAATATCTGCTATTCAAAATATACAGACAAATGTAAACTACAGTAAAACACCCTAAATCTTTTGAAACGCGTCGATCTGATGGCGGTTGAGTTTGCAGCTGGATATTATTGGGAGATATCTGACAGGAACAGTGAACAGCTCCGCAAGAGCACGTCTGAAGCTCATGTGCAGGTTTTTTTTACATTCTATGGCAGAAATGGCACCATTCAGCCTCGCTAGATTCTCTTGTATGGGCGCTTGTCCATTATAAAACACTCACAGGACATTAGTTTGGACAACTCTGCGGATATATTAAATAGTTTACACCAGTGGTTCTCAAACTGTGGCATGTGTACCACAAGTGGTACGCGGGCTTACTTCTAGTGTAACGTGGAGGAATTAAATATGTCATATGTACATGTTACATATATTTAAAAATCTATCAAAAATTATTTTATATATTATGACATATAGCCTATATATATGAGGTCCCGGCATTATTTCCAGGTGTTGATAAATATGCCACTACATGTTAATACTATACATTACTTTATTTTTTTGATTTTAAAAACAGTAACCTGTCATTTTTAACGTTTAAAAGCACATTTTAATTTAAATGTTGACGTTTTTAATTTGTTTTCGTTATTTTTATTTATTTTTTTTTTGAAATACAGTGTTAATACTTAAACTATTTATAACGTTTAAAGTGGCTGACAAATATAAATTCTAATTAAAACAATAAAATAGTAGGAATTAATCTGCCTCGTTTTGGAAATGTACAGAGCTGTAGCTGCTTTACTGGGCCTACTACGCTATTTCAAAACTGCTCATTATGGTAGTATTTGGGAAGACAATTTTTTTCCGAGGTGGTACTTGATGAAAAGAGTTTGAGAACTACTGGTTTACACAAAAATAGACAAAGAGAGACATTAACTTTCACTTCACGCAATTTGTAAATGAACAAACCTACATGTACTAGTTGCAGACGCGATCATGAGGCTGTTTTTAAGCCGAGTTGGAAGTAATCAATCAGAAAACAGGAGAAAGTGCATTACTTCGATCATTTAATACAGCATATTAATAATGAAATCCAAAAATTATAGTATAATTTTGAGAGTTCATTTTAAGCTATCACCTAAGCTGCCGCCAAAAAACAAAAAGTAACAGCTTTTAAATTACAGAATTTTCTCGTAAATTTTAATTTAAGTAAATTTCTGTAACTTATTGTCTGTTATTTTACGGTAAATGTCTGTAATTCAATGGTCGTTATTTAACTTTTTTTTTTTTCGGCCACCCAGCTGCTGGAAAAAAATCCTAAAATAACAACATTTTTTACAGTGTTGTCGGGACATTTTTAAAATGTCAGTACCGATTTGTACTGAAGTTGATACTTTGACAACCTTATATTCTAAGCAGCTAGCCTGATCTCACGAGGAAATGTAAGTGTTTTCAGTAAGTGAGTTCAATAACATAAAAATGTCAAATTTTTAAAAAGGAGGCGTGGCACCAAACCCCGCCCCTGAAGCCACTCGTCATTGGAGGAGGAGCGAATGCAGCAGCTGCTAAAGCTCAACGCAATATGAGAATTGGCATTTACTGCTTTTTCACACAGCGCTCTTGGAGTTTAGCTCTCCGCCTCTCCTGCGCTCAGCATTGTGTGGTCCGGCTTGGTTCACTTTAAGCGTCATGTGTTGACAGAGAGAAGTTCGGGAGGAGGGACGCGGCCCCGCTGAAGGCCTCTCGTGAGCAGCTCCTGTGGAATGCAGTGTGTGTGTGTGCGCACGCGTATGAGTGTTTGTGTGTGTGTGATTGGAGTGGACGACTGCCAACAGCATATATGGCCCTTGTTTTACAGAGGGCACAAGGCAGGACGGGTGGTGTGAGGACACACAGATGTGAAGCTGGTATACAGTCTGGAGTCTTTTAAGGTGACTTTTCTTTTTAGACAACCATTACTAGAATTTTTCTTTCTATTTCAGCAATATTTGGGAAGCCCCATGCACTCATTCAGTTTCCTTTCAGCTTAGTCCCTTATTTATCAGGGGTCACCACAGGGGAATGAACCACCAACTATTCCAGCATATGTTTTACACAGCGGATGCCCAGACAGGACTTGAACCAGCGACCTTTGTAAGTATTGAACATGTCACCATTTTCCTCAGGAAACATATTTCTAAAGGTGCCGTTGACTTTAAATCTTCCCTGGATGTTGGTAACAAGCAAAGGAATCCATAAAGGCAAAGAAAAGAAATCTTTACAAACTTAGAAAAGTTTACAAACTCAGTTATGCATAATAAAATGACGCAGGGTAAAAGTATTGACCACATGAAGAAAGGAAGATGTGGAAAGGTAGTGAAAGCCCAGACAGCAGCTGAAATCTCGCAGTAGTTCTTCACTATTTCCCCATTGTAAATGATTATTAGCCACAACATCTACACCAGGGTGGACGTTTCAGCAAGACAATGATCCAAAACACAGCCATGGAGACTCTCAATTGTTTTCAGACAAAGAAAATCAAGCTGTAGAATGGCCCAGCCAATCACCTGATCTGAATCCAATAGAGAATACAAAATAAAGATCAGATTTAATAGACGAGACCCACAGAACCATCAAGATTTTTACACTCTGTTGAAGTCTGTAAAAAACTCACTCCTGAGCAATTCATGAGACTTCATTCTCCATATGAAAGGCGTCTTTAAGCTGCCGTCACCAAAAAAGCCTTTTATATAAATAATTACATTGCAGTAGTTTGGTTCTTTCTCACTGTGTCATGTCATTGTTATAATACATACAAAACAATCATATATAAAGTTGAAGTCAGAATAATTAGCGCCCCTTTGGATTTTTTTATTTTTCAAAAATTTCCCAAATGATGTTTAAAGAAATTTTCACAGTATGTCTGACAATATTTTTTCTTCTAGACAAAGTCTTATTTGCTTTATCTTGACTAGAATAAAAGCAGTTTTTAATTTAAAACACCATTTTAAGGACAATATTATTAGCCCCTTTAAGCTATTTTTTTTCTCTTTAGTCCACAGAATAAACCAT